CGTCTGCATTACGTAGTTCAGTAAGATATAATAAAAAAGGTCAAGTGTGAGCCGAACTAAAAAGGCGAGATTTTTTTTATTTACAATGGAATTTCTTTCATATGATAGTAATAAAGAAAGACTCCTTGCAAATTGCAAAGATGGTCGTCTCACGGTCGCATCACAATATCGTGTTTTAGTTCGAAACCGTGAAAGGAAATTTAATGTGTATTTTAATATTTATATCTTAGATAATTTTGATTTGATTTAGATGGTTATTAATTGATAATTTGTGGTACAAAGTCTTATATATTATTATTATATTTACCTGTTTACTCGTTTTAGATTGTCATGACAATATTAACATTATAATTAAAATATGAAATAACAATTTTTACATTTTTTGGCGTACATATTGGATTTATTTCTTTAGCATAAGTGTACTGGAACTGTTAGATAAATATTCGATTTTAATTCAGGTGACATTATTAAAACACTTATACACTTAATTTTTTTAAAACAAAGCAATATATATTTTATGCGCATGTGCAATATATATATATATATTATATATATGACTGTCCAGGGTTAGTCCTTGGACAGTCATACATACAAACAATAAACATTCTTTTCAACGGCCGACTTACATGCAGAAATCTGCTAAACTCTTATCAGTTCTGTACTGATAAGCGGTGATACTAATGTATCAAACATATATGTATTCTGATAGTATATCGACATTGACGAAATGTAAAGCACTATGGTGTTGTTGTAGAATAGAAAAATAACCTACAATTAACTTTGTTTTTAATTTGTACTACATCGAGTGAAAACAAATAGATCAGTATTTATTTCGAATTTAGAACGTTTTTAAATCAAGTGTGAATAGACAAGATTATGATTGTGCTTAATTTTTGTTACTGATTGTGTTGCTATATAAAAAATGATGGCAGAGGAGGCTTTGGAAGCCGAATTGAGTGGCCATATTAATGTAAGTTATCATCCTAATTTTAATATCAAATAGACTAATTGAACTATTTTATCTAATCTATCAATAATAGTCCAGTATCTTCTCAAGTGTGAGTTTCCCAGAGTCTCCCTATTAGACTGCTTAATATACCTATATAGAATATAATTTTGAACTTGCCGTTTAGTAGGCATTGGCGTAGGTATTATGTTCTCTTCCTATAGGGGCCTTTATATTTTAGTGACGAAAAGGCAGTGGTGACACGAATTCTTGATTCGTCAACACAAGGATGCCTACATTTTTTTTATTTTACTTATTTCTTTTCAAATATTTTGGATTAACAGATAAAGTGTTTTTACATAGTTTACGCTATGGAATCTCGCTATCTACCTGTTTAAAATATTGTTAAGTTGGTAAAGTTTAGTTGATAACAATTTTCTTAATAAGCTCGTAAGATATTTTTGTTCTTACTTCAAGTTCTGTACTGTAAATAAAATAATAGTTCAATAATATACCAGTATATATACAGATGTAGGGATTATTACTCTAATAAACGGTGGGCTCCATTATTGATGCTTCCTGTATGCACGGTACTACAAGACATCTCGTCGGTTTTCATTACAATCATTTAATAGACCTTTGAATTGATGGCACAAATGTCGTACCTACGCGGAATTAGTTCTAAAGGGTACTAAGAGTTGGTATCGAAGCCCATGATAGTAATAATACTGTTTATAAAACTGAACAACTTTCCCGAAGAAGAAAGTGGACAATTGTAAATATATAATAGGTTAGCCTTCAAATAATAAATGATAGATCGTGATCAGTTTAGTATGAAGATTTCGAAATTTATTTTCAGATTTCCACTTAGTTTCTTGGTGAAAGATGTATATTTACTTAATGAATATATGTTCCTAGAGGAATGATAAACCATAAGCATGTGTGAGATCACATTTATTTAGAGCGGAATCCTGACCGTTGCTATTGCATGCGTTTCGACTGTACTACAATACTATTTATTTATTACTAGCTTTTGCTCGCGGCTTCGCTCTTGTTAATTTATCCCCTTAGGGGTGGAATTTAACAAAATAAGGATTTTGATAAATTCCACCCCTAAGGGGATGTCTACGTCATAGTAGCTTTATGCATGCAGTCTCAGCCCGAGCGGTTTAATATTGACAAAGTTTCATACAAACTTTCATCTCCTATTTTATCCCCTTGGGGGTAGTATTAATCAAAATCCTTTCTTAACAGATGCCTACGTCTGCATGCCAAATTTCAGCCCGATCCGTCCAGTGGTTTGGGCTGTGCGTTGATAGATCACTATGTCAGTCACCTTTGAGTTATATATATTTAGATATCGGTGATCGAATTCTGAACGTTATTGAGTTTCATCCATATTGCGACACGTGTTTTGTCTCTCAATGATACATCATGAGGCATTCAAAAGAGTATCTTACTTCTTACTAATATCTATAATAAACGCGAAAGTATATGAGTATTGATGTATGCATGGATGTTTGTTACTCGTTCACTCAAAAACTACTGATCGGATTTAGATGAAATTTTACAATAATATAGTACATCAGAATAATACATAGGCTATAAATTCCATGCGGAGTTTAGACAGGCAAAATTTTTTTAAAAGATTATAATTGCAACTAAGATATAATTAGGAAATACTTAACACGGTAGAGAAAGAAATTTAATACGTAAAATTTAACATTCATAAGCGGCTAAAACGTCCTATGAATATATTATTTATGATTTGATTTGATAATAATTTTTGTAATGTCATATTTTTAACAAAGGCTACCTATTAATAGGTATCTAATGGATTTTTAATTAAACGACAAGTTGTTAACAACAATCTTAGGAAAAGTTTAAATTTTAATTGTTTTTACCTCGAATCAGATAGTAATTATGAGTTGGCAATGTCAATGTTGCAATTCTTTACAACTATTATATCAGACAGGGTGTATCTCGGTTTGCTAGTTAGTAGTAAAGAAAGAATGTATATTTTTTACACGTAGGTCTTTCCTTTTGCGCATATACAAACTAGCGACTCTTGCATCAGATGAGTGTGATATGATGTGTATGTAACGGAAGTGGTAAGTATACATAAATAGAGACAGATATAGGAGAATACCAACATACCCAATACATATAAATTATTTAATAATATATCCACTACTGTGTATTGTAGGTACACAAGTTGGCTCCACTTTCTCAGGCATACAGATGTATTCTATAAAAAAAACTCGTATGCTACGCCTCTATACTCTGTAATTTCCCTGCCACATCACACCCTTCAACTGAAAGAAACTCACACAGCTAGTTGCTTGGCGGTAGAAATATTGAGGTATTCACGCGAATAACTTTGTACAAAGTGTAAAGATGATGTTGTGCTAATGTAGATAGTGCCGGTTGGTGGTCGATATCAAAACAAGTTTGTATGGTTTCGCTTCCGTTCGAAGATTCCATACAAATGCTATTTGTTTAAGAAGCGATAGTAATCATGCTGAGTAGAGACTTACGGTTCATAGCCCGAACATTCGAATCATAGGGTCAATGAATAATGAATTAGTACGTACTGTTTGTTTTAATACATATCATCACTAGCTATTATTCATTGTAGTACAATCATTCAAGCGGAGGTATAAAATGAAGATTGTGAAGTAAAGATTTCTGAGAGTTTAATATGAAAAATATATAAATAATGAAAATATGATATCGGTACAATAGCTATTTATAATAGAAGAAATAGAGGTCTAGGTTATAATAATATAGCTATTAAAAAATAGAGGTTGTTAGTAGATGCGTGAAAATTTAGAGTTGTATGTATTATTTAAATCGAAACATAAAATATGTGTATTAAAAAAATTTAGGGGATCTACACTTATCACACAAGGGTATAAAATATAGATAACCTATTCTCAGACCTACCGAATACATACATAAGATTCCATCAAAATCGATTAAGCCGTTTCGGTGAAGTATGCAACTAACACTGTGACTAAATACAAATATCTGTATTATTATCTAAAAACTCTGTTTTCAAATTTCAACAATTATTACTCTTATACAGATGTCGACCTAGTTTAGATTCCAGGTTCTTACAAGCAATAAATATTGTTTTAAATGAAAGTACGACTATAAATTATATTGTAAGGATCGTTGAGAGTGGTAAATAATAATGATTCCTATATAAATTTATATGTTTAATTTTTCGGGTAAATATTAAGAGCAGTTATCAAGAACGATTGGACTTATTGCATTAAAACAATGCATTTGTGCTTTATGGAATAAATTTATTTATCCTATTTTAATAATTGATAAGGTTTTTACTAACTTTTATATAAATTTATACCTATTACCTACATTTGTTAAAATTGTACGTTTAGTTCCATGTAAACTAAACTGTACTAACCTTATTTTTTGTCAAGGTATCTAGTTTCACTTGTGTTTAAATAGATTAACTGCTATCTATTCATTATGTCTGACTAGGCTATCGGATGTCTTCATGGATTTTAAAAGACCAAATCCTATTAGTCACACTTTGTAACACACAGTTTAGCTTTAGTTTTCTACCATTACGCACATCTTAGACAAAAATACTTATATATAATAATGTTAAAAGAACTCAAAATAATAAAGAATAAGACTTTACTAGTTTTTTAACATGTATTGGGTAAGTGACAAAATATTATAATTTATATTAGTTATCAAAGCTGTACAAACAAAGACTTCGCGGTTATATCTAAATGATAAGTTAGGGTTAAACGGGTCTCAAATTAATCTATATAAAAATAACATACATTAGTCAACTCATTAACTACAACAAATCAACATTATGTTATCACATCATTTTTGGTCATCGATAACCCGGAAAATACCTACTAATTAGTTGCGTACCTAGCTTGTACCTAAGTGAATACACCTTGACGTAACTTTATCCGAGTTTAGTCGCTGATCAGGAGCAAGGCCACGCTGCCCTTACGTGGTTTAGACGGTGAGCTCTCCGCAGTCGACGCGCTGCTCTCGACCCACCACCATGCCAGACGAGGAGCCCCCCTTACCTCCCCCTTCCCCGACAACCCCGCGCTCCGGGCCTTCGCGCCTTCGACGAACTCTACACACGCTGCGCTCGCCGTTCCGCTCCGGCTCGCCCTTCCACATTGGCTCGATCAAGCGTACTGGTTCTACTAAGTCTTGCGCATCAGACGGCGACATTACGTGCGACGAACGCACGATGCGTAAACGTAATAAAAAACATCGCGACACGGCCAGCGATGCCTCTCACAGTACGAATGGTTCGCCTAAGGCCGATAAAAAGAAAAAAGACGGTGGAAGTCTCTTACGTAGGATGGGTAGTTTAGGTAAAAGACGAGCAGAGTCGACACCACCTCCATCACCATTTAGAACAGTGGAGTCTACTACAGGAAATCAGCTACCTTCCGAAAAAGAAGAATCTCCTACAAATGATTCTTCTCCTGAAAAAGAGAACTTAACACCTTCGCAAAATCTATCATTAAAGACATCAGAGGTAACGCCGAAGTCCTCGCCTGAATTAACACCAGAGCCTACCCCAGAACCGGCCAGTCCGATTGCAGTAGAACATCCAGTCGCGACACGACTTTTCACAAAAGCAGCTTGGAAAAGAAACAGTGAAACCGAGATGGAAAAACCTGTGGAAGAACCGAGTCCTGAAAGCGCTTTGCGGCGGCGAATTGCGTTTGTCGCACAGGCATCCGCCTGTTTATCTGAGGATCACGACGACGGAGAGAGGGGTGAGGGCGAAGTGGGGTCACTGGAAGAAGCGGTGGCACTGGCCCGCGTGCGGCTCGCCGCGCCAGCGCCGCCCTCGCCGTCACATTCACGCGACAACGACACCGAAGAGGAGGGGTGTACGGACGCGATGCCGGCGTACGGAGACCTCATCGGTCCGGAGAATAAAGCTGGGAGCATCGAATCGCCGGTGAGTGTTGTGCCAGTTTGGGCGCGTGCGCGGCACTCGCAGGCAGCCTCAGTGGGCAAAGGCTCTTCGTGCGATGCGCGCGCGCCATGACCTTCGAGGAGGCGGGTGATGAGTGCTACCTAACGGTGTGCGAGTGTTGCGGTTTCAGCGCGGAGACGTCCGTGTTGGTCTCAGTACGTTTTATTTCCCAATAGTTTTCAGCGGCTACTATCGACGATGGCCTTCGTGAGTACGCTACGATATGCAAGTTCGCTTGCCCGTGGTCTTGCTTCGTATTGCACTGCATTGTGACTTTAACATAACTTTGTTTACTCAAGTGCACGATACTTAACAATTTGTGAATCGTAACGATGATAGGTACTTGAGGCATCTAGGTGGAGTACGATGTTTCTTTTATTGTTCGTGAATGAATATTATTTGAAATATGAATAGTAAACTTTATAATATCCAAACTTAAATACATTACACTATAAAATATAGAGAATTTAATATTGGATCATATCTGTTACAGAGAACTTTTTTCAATTAAATATAAGTTTTCATTATAGAGCTGTAGGGGGCATATTTTAATGAACTCTCGAAAAATGAAAGTAAGAGATTGTTATTTTTGCTTCTTGTTATTAAGTTATTTTTGATCTAAGTAAAATTTACACGTGATGTGGTGCCCTTATATTGGATTAATTAATGAAGTATTTCAATTCTGATGTTGACATAACTTGTTAATGACCACCTAATGATAGTGACTCAGTAATAGACACAGCAATGTAGGAACAACAACAGCGGTCATTTCCTCTGATGTGTAAAATTAAACCATGCAACAGATTTTGATAATATATTTATCATTATTGTTTTTTTATATTCTATATAAAAGGTTTATTCATACGACTTTAATGCATACAATAAAACAGATTGAAGTACATCTACATTTAGCGGATTTTATAAAATTATATGTGGTATAGAAAAAAATTTCCGCGGTGCAAATAAAAAATGAAATATTTTAAAGTATCTAAATAATATACGAAGGCAATATACATAATTAAATAAATTCATTTTAAGGGCCATGTCTGTACAAGTTGGTAGTATTCTCTAAAAGTACGCCCAATTCATAATTATAATCTCAGAACAATTCACACAGCGCCATCTAAATCCAAGTTAAGTTAGATAAAGCTTGTGTTATGGGTACTAGATAACTGATACAAATACATAGATATATATTTTTTTCGTAAATACATACATATCATACATATAAAACGCCCAGATCGACAAAACAATCATACTCATGAATATAAATGTTTGTGCACTGCGAGCAATCGAACCTGATACCATCAGTAGTAAGGCGGTATATTAAACCACTAGACCATCGAGGTCGTCAATTTTAATTAGACCTCATTCGCAGGTGTATCGTTACTTCATATCATATATGTCATTAACTTCGTCTAAATTAGATAAACAACATATTGTGGAATATTTACGTAAAATTTATATGTAAACAAAAAAACTCGTTTGCCCCTTTTTCTTATAAATAAATATCGATTAACCGGCAACCTGACATGATATTCTCAAAAAGCTGTTTTTGTTTTCGTGTTATTTAATTATCAGATCTCTCGTACAGTGAACTATCACAGATCTATAAAAGAGAAGCAGCGGTTATTACGATGCAATTGATATGATACTAACATCTAATCGGAATGAAATAAGTAACAGACACAAACACGCAAAATATACATAGGTAAATTACAATACTATTGATAAGATATTTGTCATATATGTATTGAATAACTGATATATCTATATATTTTAGTCACCCCTAATAATCCACAATAATAAAAAGTATCCACCATAATCCCTATCTGTATCTTTGTATTTGTATTTTATTTTTAGTAATTTGTTGTTATAGCTTAATGTTTTTTATAAAAATAGCAGTCAGGTAAAAAATACAGACAAAGTTGGTTAACAAATAGTAAATAGCGTACAAATATACACTCTCAAATATATACAGTAATAAAACCTTTTCTTGTGAAGTACCTACTTAATATGTTATAAAAATATCAGTGTTTTGTCATTTGTTTATTTATCTGCATGCTGTGTCACGTGTGATTCATAGTGTTTATATATTATTGGAATGGTAAATAATCCCATATACTTCACTCGATGGTAAATAGTGACTGTGGCTATACCAATAGAATAGAATAGAATATATCTTTATTGCTAACTATGTGGGTACATCATCAACAGTTACACCCCATCGTGTATGCAACAATACAGTATTACACATACAATATATCTTGACACCACTTAATTCGGGAATGTATATTAAATCAGTACATTATAATTTATTTATTTATATTTTCAGACATTTATGACCATGATCATAGCATTTATCTTAAAACAAATGTTGTTTATATTCCTATAATACTAATCTATAATATTGTCGGAATATAAACAATTGTTTTAAATATTATTTACATATTTGTTTATAATAAATCATATTATAATCATTAATAACATTTTAACTATCATTACGATAAAATTTATAATAAGGGTAGTTAAAATGATAATAGATAGAAATATATGAAATTAACTATTAATATTTAATTATTTTTATAAAACTAGCGACCGTCCCGGATGTGTACAGTTTATTCTATACTATAATACGCTTGTATTAAATAATAAATAATCAAAGAACCTTTCTATTGAATCACTCTAACATTATATTGCTGAAAATTGCATTAAAATCCGTTGCGTAATTTAATAAATATAAACGAACAGTTAGCGGTGGCGACTTTGTTTTATACTATGTAAGGAGAATACAAAATAATTAAAATAAAATCACACAACATTTTTCTTTTAATTATAGTTATTTTGTCTACCACCAGATGTCTTTCGAGAACAGTAATAGTGTAGTGAAGTCCACTACTGGATATCTGGTATGGACAATCCTGCATTCCTACATACAGTAATGTTTAGTACGCTATTGCATGAAATCTTGCTGACCAGTGACGCAGTTCTTTTGTGCAAATAATCTTATCAATAACAATACTCACTACAATGATAGATATAACATTATCATTTCCTCTGACTATTCTTTCCTATACCTTTATTTTCATGATTAATTAAATTATCTATTCGTAATTTATTTGTGTCATATATTATCATACATAACATAGAGTTAAATAGAAAAATAAATGTGACAGCATTGTAGACGTAAACGTATATTTAATTATTATTATATATTTAGTTTATGTAAAAATGTATAAATTAAATGAAAAACGGAAATCTAAAAATTTCGGAAATTTTTACATTTACGTTTAAATTGGGTCGCTTTTGTTTTACGTAATAAAGATATACAGAATATTTTTCCAAATGGGCAAGTATTCATTAAATTTATTTATAAAATACCTATGTAATATAAAGATTTAGTTCGTTGTAAAGGACTTGTAGAAAATTGGCGATGGGAAACTCCGGGTTGTATTAAAACGTATGATTAATATATATACTATATATGTATCGTCACGTCTAAGGTTTTTTCCGGCTTGATTGACATCTCAGGTTATATGCAGAATAATCCAATACAAAAAGAGCAGTTATTGAGTCCCGAGATTTAAATAGTATGAAAATTTAAAAACATATTTTTAATTTTCGAACGCGCGAATTACTATAGATTTATTTTTGGCGGGAATGATAACTCTTTTGAATTATAACTCGGTTTCACAATAAATGTTTATAATCCTTTTCTTAATATAATACGTTATCGGGAACATATGATATGTCTTGTATATTTTTACTTACATTTAATTAGAACCTATTATTAACAATACATTAATGAAAATGATATCCTTCTCCCCCTTGATAGTATTTAGCTTGTTTACATGCGTGTATCCCACGTGACCTCGACCATAGAGAGTTCCGACCATCGACAATGTTAGAAAGTCAAAGGTATATCACATTTGTGAATGATCATTCGCGGTCTTGTCACTTCGGTTATGTCTGAGGCCGCCATTCGTGTATATCTGAAACTTGATACAGATATCACGTTAGTTAGCTAGACTTTACCGCAGTTTCGCGGTTCCAACGGTTGTGCAATGTGAATTCTAGTGTTATTAATTGCGGTTCATTATGTCCTGATTAATTATAATCAGTTTATTAATCGGGATATGCTATTGATATTTTTATTATATACTAGCTGTACCCGCGACTTTGTCCGCGTGGAAGTTAACTTTATTTTTTAAAACATTTTTTTTTAAGATAACAGTAGCCTAAGTTAGTCTTTATTACATCAGCTACCAGCCAAAAAAAGTCCCGACAAAATCGGTCCAGCTATTTCATCATATATTAGCCGGAAAAAACAGACAGACAAAAATTGTAAAAAATGTTATTTTGGTGTATGTGCCGTAATTATATTCGTATGCATGTAGTAAAAAAACGGTTATTTCAATATTACAAACAGACACTCCAACTTTATTTAAAGATTTAAGATTCTACACTGAATGAAATGAATTAAGGTTCATTATTTACTCATTAATAAGACTATAAATGACAGGGGAAAGGGTATTTTCAGTAATAAGGACGTACCATGTGTTGACCTCCATGCGGTTTCTAAATTATCTTAAAAATCCATGTAATTTCTAATAATGATATATATATATAACACTATGGGATATCTAATCTTATTTCGTGCTCCTTCTATCCATCTGCCACTAAACTATACTAGAGTAATTCAATGAATATTATTAGGTACTAAACCGTACACGAGATTTTTATCACTTTTCATGAAAAGCCATATTAAAAAAATCGTATAAGGTTTGTGTTTGTTTTATTTGTGAAAATAGTTAACTTTGTGAAAATAGGAAGTTTATGATTCATTATATCTTGCACTAACAACTATGAGCAGGTGTTAATCCAAGATACGCATTATTTAAGCCACAAATTAAATTCAAACCTACCTAATTCAATACACTTTCACTTTTTTAGTATCAGTACAATAAGTAATAAATAGTATA